TCCTCCAAATCTGGGGGCAACTTTTCTGAAGGTAATTGTCAAAATGAGCTTGACTGAATAGCTGGAATGTCAATAGCTAGGCCCAGCTCTATCCTGAACAAATGAAAAGTGCATTTTGCTTGAACAATTCTGCATTTAGGTAAAAGTCATTCTAAAAACAACTATGGGACCTACAAAGCACCCAAACCATTGTTGTAAATGTGTTTATTCTGTAGTACATCAGCATTTATTTTATTTTATTTACTTTTAATTAAAAGTATTTAAAATAATAAAGACAAGCAGAAAAGTGAACCTGACTGGTAACAAGGGAGATAACAACAAACAGAATCATGTCTTTGGCTACCATACTGTTCACCCTTGAACTAGTTGTAGTACTTTACAAATCTACCCCTAAAGAAGGGAAAGAAAAGGATAAAATGTGTGCTTTAAAGAAAGGAGAAGTTAGTAATTTTTAGACTATCATTAGGGGAGAAGTATGTAATCTTTTAAACAATCATTTTATGTGAGAAACACAACATATAACCCAGCCTTCTCCAACATGGACATCCTCTAGAGGGATATACCAATTCCCAGATTTCTCAGCAACGGCTCTGCTAGTTGGAGAAATTTTGCAAGCTGAAGTCCGCATATGTGGAAGGTGTCCAAATTAAGAAAGAATGTGTAAACATTTCCAACAAATGAAAGATTTAAAATAAGACCATTACAACTGCATGTTCAAAATAATATGAATCTGAAAATTTCCTGAAATGACTAGCTACCCAAAAGGTGCTTTGTATAAAGTGAATGGAGCCACTGACAGTAGGAGACATTTTTGTTGAGTTCTATAAACTCTATCCTGCCTAAAATTAACCACAGATTCCCCAGTATTTCTCAAAACTACAAGGACTGACTCTTTCATGTAACTCAGATGCATGTCATATGATGGAATGTATCTACGAAGAGGAGGGTAATGTGAGAGGTCAAGGCTATCAGGAAGGAGGGGGTGGTTTCCAGGAAGGGAAAGGAGACAAAAGACAATACAGTCGGCAGGGGGAGTGTGGGAAGCGAAAGAAGTTCAGATAGCCATTCCCTAGAATCACCCAGGGTATATCCACTTATTGCAGTAGTATAGATTTGGTCTGGCAACATTCTGTCTATAAGATATAAGTAAATAAAGGAACATTATTCAACTGGACTGTTTCACCATTGTTCTTGGGCTGGGCCTGACACATAAGCACCAACCATCAGGAATCATCGCTTACCAACTTCGTTCAGTGACTGTTCGAAGTTATGACAGCACTGAAAACGGAGATTTATGACCAGTTCTTGAACTTGCAGCTGTTGCAGCATCCCTGTGGTCACGTGATTGCAATTCAGGTGCTTGGCAACTGGCATGCATTTATGACGGTTGCAGTATCCTGCAGTTACGTAATTGCCATTTGCGACCTTCACAGCCAGCTTCCAACAAGCAAAGTCAATAGGGAAGCTGGCAGGAAGTCTCAAGTCGCAGTCATGTGGTGTCATGTTTAATGACTGTGGTGATTCACTTAACCACTGCAGCTGGAACTGATATTGTAAGCTGGGCACAGTCATGTGGTGTTTCACTTTACAACCCTGTTGCTTAGTGATGGAATTGCCAGTCCCAACTGTGGTCGGTAAATGAGGACTATCTGTAATATTTCAACACATTGCTTACAACTGTCATGCTAGTAAAAGAAGCATTCAACACTGCAGAATCCTGACACTTGGGAGTGGAATACTGGAAAGGAAGGTTTTTCAATAACAATCATGCCAATACAGTATCCAACAATGGAGACTTCTGTACTAGAGGAAGAAAATTAGTTTTTTGGCCTTGTAAAAAGCTATTTGAATAAAGTGGCTGGGCTATGTTTTTGACAATTTAATGTAGTAAAATTAAAATATATTTAGAGATAAAGGAGTTGTGGGATGTCAGATGATCTATACGCTAGAGCTGTGCAGATAATAACAGACTTCAAAATTTCTGTGAGCCTTGGTAGGATGAACAGGATGAGTTTAATAGGCAAGCACAGGTTGCCCCAGCTAAGCCAAGCTCTGTTGTACAAAACACCATGCTACACTGTAGGTCTGTTTGCTAGTATTATATCCACATTTCTTATTTAGCCCAACACAACAACATGTACAGTGGTGCTTAAAAGTTTGTGAACCCTTTTGAATGTTCAACATTTCTGCATAAATATGACCTAAAACACAATCTGTTCTCCACATGAGGAATGGCACAAAATCCTGACCTTAATTCTATAGAAATGTTGTGGCAGGACCTGAAGTGGGCAGTTCATGTGAGGAAACCACCAACATCCCTGAGTTGAAGCTGTTCTGTAAGGAGGAATGGGCTAAAATTCCTCCAAGTTGATGTGCAGGACTGATCAACAGCTATCGGAAATGTTTAGCTGCAATTACTGCTGCCCAAGGGAGGCACACCAGTTACAGAAAGCAAAGGTTCACACACTTTTGCCACACAGAATATGTAGCTTTGGATCATTTCCCTCAATAAATAAATGAACAAGTATAATTTTTTGACTCATTTGATTAAGTGGATTCTCTTTATCTAGTTTTAGGACTTGTTTGGAGAACAGATCATGTTTTAGGTCATATTTATGCAGAAATAGTGAACATTCAATAGGGTTCACAAACTTTTAAGCACCACTATATGAAGCTACAATTATGAGATAAGGGCAGCTTCTTATTTTGATATAACACATTCAGGTAGAAATATGTATCCCATACCAGTCAACAAAATACCAGAAAGAGACAGTTATTATTACTATTATTTGAAGTCCATGCATATGACAATAGGAGCAGAATAACTATTTTCATGTACAAGCGCCCTTCAGAACTAAGAGAGTTGCTTTTCCTCAAGCAGAAAGCCCAACTAAATATTTGTGTGTGCAAACAGATGGAAGGATCTGACATAAAAAACAGATATAGCAATGCAAGATATGGATATTTCCCTCACTAAGTGCAGAACAAAATGTGGTCATAACTCTTCTCTCAAAGTATAGGTACACCACTGAGATGTGC